GGTGAATACTTTAGTTTTTATTATGAAAAAAATTGCGATTACGAAATTCCTTTATTTAGATAATATACTTAATACAAATTTCCACAAAATTGCTCAATAAATTGCAATGGTAGTTTTGCTTAAGAAAAGAATTTAGTTTTGTCAAAGTATTTTTTGTCGTTCATTTAATTTTGTTTATTGATATGGAAGTTTTATTTTCCGTTAACTGCTAAAAAATTTTCTTTTAGCCATGTGGTCTCAGCACAAAAATGGCTTCAACTAGAAAAAAAATCCGATTTTTTTTTCGAGGGGGGGGGGGGGAAACTTATAAGTTGTTGATGCAATTTGTTACTAATAGGAAGGACGTTTAAATCACTAAAAATAAGTTTAGTAGATGTTGGAATTTTTTTAGGCTGTTTATTCATTTTTTATATCAGAAAAATTTATGATTACAGTGCAGCAATTTTGTAAAGTTTAATTTTTGTTTTCATAAAATAAAATAAAAATTAGTTACATTTTTCTATTCTAGCCATATATAATGAATTGTTGAACAGATTTTGTGAATAAATCTAAATTAACTTGTTAAATAGCTGTTAATTGTTGAAAAAATTGGTCAATTAGCAAAAAAGGTGTTCCGATATTCCTGATTAAAAAATATTCCGCCGCCTTTATTTGTCACGATTTTTATCTTTTTGTCCTAACATCCCTCATTTTTTTTTTGTGCTCTTCACATACCATTTTCTAGGAATATATAGGCGGAGTTTAAAATAATCGATTTGAAAAGTGGAGAGAATAGTATTTTCGATCCAACATCTTTTTTTATTTAATTAATAATGCTCGTAAAAATCACATAATTTGATAGTTCTAACTTGAAACCGTCCATTCAATTTATTTCTCAGGTTTTGCACCCAAGACAATATTTATTGAAATACAAAAATAATCGTGTATGTTGCTTAAAAATCTACTTCTAATTTTTATTTGTACTAATTCAATACGTTTGTTTTGTACAACTTGATAAAAATCTGACAGTAATATTTAATGTTCCTTCAAACATAAAAGAGTCCTATATAAAAATTTGATAAAATTGCGGCCCGCCGTTTGACTGGTGTTTTTAATTGCGGCCACGGGCCTCATGTAAGTTGGAAACCCCTGTAGCTTATTTATTATTTTTAGCAAATGTAGTTACAACTTTGGTCGGGTGGTGTTCTGTAGTGTAACAATTATTCATCCGTCTCTTACATTTGATTTTAAAAATGATCGATTTTAATTAACAATACAGTAATCATATCGTAGAATTTTTAAACGGTAAATTTTAAGATCATTCACCTAATTACTTCCATACAAAATCGTTAATCGCCTTTTTCATTTCGTCTTAAGCTTTTTCAAAAGTTGTCTAGTATATGTATACTGTTCCAAAAAATGTTCGGATTTTCTGGAAAAATATCCTGACTTTTTCTTTGGACCACTGCGAGGCAGGAATATATATTTTAAAGTAAAGTATATTGGAGAGTATAGGTACCAATTAATTTTAAAATAAACTTTTCTGGCAATTATTTTATTTCCCATGGCGCAAGAAGGCATCTTAACAAATCTTTTTCTATTGTTGTTAATGCTTGGAAAATTTGTAATATTGGTCCTTTTTTTTTCTTTTAATCATTCATGCTGCACATAAAAATATAAACGTATTTTTTATTTATGGTACTTTACAGAGTAAAATTATTGTTTCACAAATTGCTGTGAAATTGCTGCTTCAAGCAATTGCTCCAAAATTCCAAGGCTCACAATTACATCATTGTTATTTTTATAATCCCATTATTTTTCCATAGTTTTTCCTATATTTACCATTATTTTTCCTAATAAAAAAGATTTTTTTTTTTTCAAAGCTTTTTAAAAAGTTTCGGCTATTTTATTTACTCACCAATCTCATACATCATTGGATTTAGCTCATCACTTAAAACATTTTATGAATTGTATTTTACTTATAAATTAACACATATCAATCCGCATGACATAAATTCGTCCGTTGTATATTAAAAATTAGTAAGATGCCACTGCCGCTATTTTGAGTGTTTAACTTTACGTTACGTTTTGCTGATAAAAACTATAAGACTTAAAATTAGAAAAAAGAAAAAAAATATGTGTAGAAAAATGTACAAGAAGTAAGATGGAATAAAGAAATATTAACATTTGATAATTAGTTTTGTTAAACTAGCAATAAAAAATAGCATGAGTGCAGCCTCATAACTAAATTTCCAACTGAAGAATTAAAATTTGAAGTTCTTTAACAGAGATTTTTTATTCAAAAAGTCTTTTTTTTTTTTAAAGAAATGCCAATTTGTTAGAAAGTTATGAAAAGCAATTTTATGCTCTTCGTTTTTTTTTAAAATTTTTTATGACGCATTTTGTTTTACTGTGCAAAGACTGTTAGTCTTAGAAACTTGAAATTATGATTGAGTGTAAAAAATGTACTGAGAATACTGTACTGAGACATAGAATAAAAACATTTAACATCTGACAATTAATTCGTGATGTTTGTAGTAAGAATTTTCGTGCGAGCCGCTTTTCAGCTCGTTGAGATGCTACTACCGAGTTGAAATTTGACATTGATTTGAAAATTGAGCATTTTTATTTGTGGACTTGACGCACGTTTTTTTAGAGATCAGATCAAAAGTTACTGCAATTTTAAGTGATTTTTTTCTCTCTCGGTTTTTGCAGTAAATAATTTTATCCGTTGCAATAAGATATGCAAAATAGGAAATTCTTTTTATTAGAAATCCAATATTTTAATACCTTTATTCACTTTAATCTCGAGGCATCCAATAATGTATGTTCGGAACACTTTTTGTGGATCACCATAAACTTTTGTCTCATTATAATTAAAAGTCTTCTAATATTCTTATAAATCCGCGCCTTTAAGCTATTGAAAATACACATAACGGCCAATGTATTTAAATTCGAAATTTTTTTTTTTAATATATATAATTATTTTGTTGAAAATAACGCATGTGTCACATTTTTAAGTGTTTGTATAAAAATAAATTCAACATATTATTTTGCATTTCAAATTAAATATTATTTGTCTTATGTATATATTTTTTTTTAGAAAAATTTGATATTAGTGATGTTTATGAATGTAATCGGGTTGACTTGTGGGCCATCACCTTTTAGTACAGCTAATACTGAGTGAAACATGTTTCAAAATTTAATAACTTAGTATATTTTATAAGATAATTAAAAGAAATCTGATATATTTTGATAATATACATTTGAATTATTTAATAAAATAGAAAACACATCAATTGTACAAATAAATTAATTGTGCAATAAATTAATTGTATAATAAATTGAACAAATAATATGTTCGAGATCTCTTTATAAAACGATATAAAAATAAGCAAAATTTAAAATTATCGTATAAATTTTTGACTTTAAAAAATTGCATGTTTTATTAAGTCAAAATAAATCGACGTTTTAAATTTAATTTAATGAAACCGCTGAGGAACCTAAGTTTCAAATTCATTCGAAGATCATGACGCTTTTGAAAGCTAAAAACGTAAAATTAGGGTATTGCTGCATTTTTTTGTCACCATTAAAAAAAAAAAATTTAAAAATACACCATTTTTTATAAAATAATTGGTTTAATAACAAATATTATATGCTTAGATGGAGGTACAAAAAAATTTTCAATACCAAACTGAAAAAAGTAGGTATTTTAAAGCGGACTCCATACTAATTTCATCTATAATTTGTTTATTAACCTCTAACAATTATTCATAAAATTCCTAACACCCTCAAATATTTATACTAAAGGTCTTCATCAAAAAGGGGGAGGGGAATGATAGCGGCGCCATGTGGGAACATATTGTATCAAGTATTTATGTGTTTATAGAATGTATGAGAAATGTTTTTTTGTTGGGGTTTTTTCTCCCATTTTTGACTGAAGGTGAAAGGTTTCCTAAGTGGGTTCCAGGAAGAGTACTTTTCGAGGGGAGAGCTCGGGAGGAGGGCTTCACAATACTGAAGGGAGGAAGAATAAGAATAGCCAATAACTTAGCTATTTTAAAAATAAAAACATGGATTTGTAAGTTGTGGTCGTGGAGCTAAACAGTGTGTTGTTTAGATAATTTTCCATGCATTTATTAGCAAATATAGTAAAGTTGGCACGGCTGGGTAGAAAAAAGATGAAAAAGACTTTTCCTTTCTCCCCTTGCCCTGATATATAGACTTATGAATGATCGCTTTTTTTTTCTTTCTTCTTGGAGTCTTTTTCTCAACATTTGTTTGATTTTGGGGGGGGGATTGAAGTAGCCATTCATGTTATCATTATAATATCTGCTTTAAAAAATAAAATAGGAATGTAGAAAAAATTTAATACAAGAGTGGATTGGACAAAATGTTACTATTTTTAACTGAGACCTGTTAGAGGGCGGTGCGTAGTTAATCAATCAACAGTGGGTTAAATAGATAATTTGGATTCCATTTATTTGTTAGCTAAGACACTGAAATGACAAGATAAAATGGGTAAAATAAAAATTCCCCCACTAATCGTGATTTGTCCCTTGTCTTCAACTTTAGACATGTCAGCACTTTTCTTTGATTTTTAAGAAAAATCTGACTTGTATGTGTATAACTTAGTTGAAAAATCGGTAATACACAGAATCTATAACGCGTTCTTTCATTAGCTCCAAGTTCATCACACTCTTCCGAACATCGCGCCTGGGACGAAAACACTGATCTTCGGTGTCAACAAACTCGATATCGCCGTGGTTAATACCGGCCCTACGAACTGCCTCTGTACTGTATGATTCGGGCATGAGCGTGACTTTTGTACTGGTTGAACTTCGAAGCGATCCGGTAGAAGTCTGAAATGAAACATGCAAGGGAAACTGCATAGCGGGTGGTCGTGGAAACGGCACGTGCCCCGCACTTCCCAATCAATGTCGAGAATGGGGAATAGCCTCCGCCAATCAGGAGCGCCCTCTCTTCGCTCTTTTCATCCGTTCTCTGCTGTAGACGCCATCATCGAAAATGTACACCCACCCGCATAGGGCTTTCTTAAAATTTATACAAAATATCATAGTGTCAAGTAATTAATTAATAAATTACAAAAAAATTATGTGATCAAAATTTCCTGATTTTTTATTTTTTTTTATTTAATACCGTATTTTCTTTCTGAGCTTGTCAATGCTTTTTTATAAATGACATTTATTTTTGGAGCTGTTATTTGCTGGAACAAACGATTGATGAAAAACCGCCGTGTGTGATTCAACCGGCTGATAATATTAACGGCGCTGCTGCCTCCTGCTCGTCCATATTGTGCCATCCCCTTTTTACGCATTTGTCTTCTCTTCCAAAAGGCGCAGGCGAAGACGATCTGTCGCCGCCGGATTGAGAAAAATGCCTTCAAATCGTAAAGTCATTATGTGAGTTTTTTTTATCTTTAGTGACTGTGTAATTGGTTGTTTATTTGTGGTCGCCAGATTGACCCAATGCGGCCACGTTGGTTACGCCGCCACCCTCGTCAACTCCCGTTATGCTATCGTAAATTTCATAATGGCGCCTGGTGTTTTTTATCACCTGTAATAGAAAAATAATCGATTTAAATAGACCGGCGTATAAACTCGTTATTTATCATTGGGACCTGTTACGCTCATGTTTGTATTTATATATTTTTTAAACACATCTGGTTGAACGCTATTTAATTCTGTGAATTTTTACGCCTTATGAAGATATTTTATATCTTGTGTTTTTATCAGCTTTAATAAAAGGGAAGTTGTTATGCTATTTTTACAAGAATGTTATTTTTGTCATTATATGTGTTCATATCACCTAGCTGTTTGTGTTCATGACGTTGTTACTATGAGACAAAAAATTTTTTTTCCTCGATCGATTACCGAATTTTCGTATGATGTAGTCGCACGGAATTAATCTTTTTTCAATAAAAGAATCCTAAATTTAGTGTTGAATAATGTACACATCCTATAACTTAATCCTTTTTCACTAATTCACATTATTTACATTTTTACACATTGTGAATATACTATTCATAAATATATTTGTGTGAAAATTTATAATAGAAAGTTTAGTATCTATTTTTTATTAGCTAAAACATTAACAAATACATTTGTTTTCTTTTACACTTAATATCAGTTTATAATCATGTTTTACATTTCATTTGGGGAGTATAATCTTAGAAAGATGGTAAATTAGTTCGGTTTCGTAACTGATGATTATTTGTCTCAAAAGATTTATTTTTGAGAATATGTTTGCAAATTAAATTGTAGATTTTGCATGGCATATAATTACTATTTTAACAAGTTTGAATTATTAAATTTTGGTTTAAAATTTAATTAATAATAATAACTTATTTATTATTGTTTTGTTTCAGTGAAATAACTTTTCATGACTGTATCAGAATAATTTTAAATTACTCCGTAAAATTTAACTCTATTATATAAGCATGGCAAATTTAATTTTTTTGAGATAATTTTACTTTACTTAGTCAATGTAATTGAATTTTGTTTATCATTTAATTAATATATTTATTAAATAATACTAAACTTTTTCACTTTTTTTTTTAATTTGTTAATAAAATCGATCTTTACATAAATAAAATTTTTTGAAAATATCCCAATATTAATGTCATTAAGATAATTAAGTTTGTTTATCTATGGTGTGAACTGTTTAAATAATTTTATAATGAATTTTATGGCTTGTTTATTGTTGCTAGACTTATGAAATTTGATATCTACACTAAAAAAAATTTTGTATGAATTTTATTATGTTTGAATAAAGGATGAAATAACTAAAATAACTTGTGTTTTTCTTTCTTTTCTTTTTTTAAATGTAGTATTCAAAGAAACTTTTCAATTAAATGTCTTCATACTTGACATGAAATAAAAAAATATAGCAACATTTAACTTAAATTTAATATGCAGGTATAGAAATGCTTGCTCTTATTGTTTCAACACTTGTTTTTATTTGTATAAGTAGAATTAAAACTTGTGATATTCATCTTCTGTTTAAAATAAAATGATGTTTGATTGACTTGCTTTGTGGAAAAAGAATTCCTTTTAATTCTTTAGCATATATAGATATATATATGTTCAACATAAAGTAGTATTATACTATATGTTGGATATTTGACTGACAAATTTTTTTATATTTTTTTTTTTAATGTAAAAATAGCAAGGAAAAAATTTTTAATGTATTCTGTATCTCCAGTTATATTATTCTAAATACTATTTTTAGTCAATAGATGTTTTTAATTAAAAATCACGTAGTTAATATAATAAACATCATAAAAAATAATTTTATTAATGTTTCTGAAAATATAGATTTTCTCTGAATTTTTAAACTATTTTTTTTTTTCAAATAAACTTAAGAGCTAACAGATATATGTATACATTTTTATTTTAAGTTATTAATTAATGAGATTAAATTAATCAAGTTGCATACTTATATTTAATTATCAAACCTTTCAAGTGAATGATTTTTTTTTTAACCTTAAAAAGATTTTCAGTACTTTCTGTACTCCTTTAATTGCATTATTAATTTTTTTTAAAATTTAGTTTCTAGTTCTTTTGCATAATTAATTTTTCACAAATTATGTCTAAATTTTCACAAAATCGGTACTTTTCAGAAAAGCCTAGACAGACCTCTGTAATTTATACTAAGTCCAATTTAAATATTGTAAATTTGGATAAGTTGTTTATAGTAGAGAAGTGTTCTTCTAAACTTTTAGAGAAGTGGGTGAAATTTTTTTAAAAATGAAATTTCATTTTAATTTGGAATAAAAAAGACTAGAAATTAGTATATTATTCTCAACAAATTCTATTATTATCTCAGCAAACGCACTGAATACTTCTAGAATTTGTTAAAATCAGAATACTGTCATATGTTGCACACATTGAAATTGAACAATTGAATGTGCTGTGTGAAAATTCAGCAGTTATGTAATTATTTGTGTACCTTGTTTTGCAGTGTAAAATAGCAGTTAGTGTGAAATTTATTATTAATCAGGGATTTTTTAAAAAAAATACAAATTAATTAGTAACAATATTTTCTTGAACTTTATTAGTGTATTTTCTACCTAATTAAGTTACATTACTAATTAAGTTGCCTACAAAGTTACATTTTTCTTGCATGCACAGTACAGAATACTTTCAAAAGTACATAACTTGCCATATTCTTCTGCATTTATTTTTTATAAAAACAAAAAAAAATTGCAACATGATGAACTTATAATCTTTTTATGAAATGTACTTTAATGAGGAACTGCTCTTTAACTTTTTTGAGCATTCGAAAGAAAAAATTTCTTAAGTAATATTAATATTTCTACTGAGTTTCTAAACCACCTTAGGACTAATTTTTGCATAAAAGTAATTTCAGCATTGAAAGATTTAATTGTATGTATCAGGGTTGAGGTTTTGGACGTCCTAAACTGGCTTTGGACAGGACACTTGGGTTTTACGGTCTTAAACTGGGTAAAACTGTCTTAAAGTGTCCAAATCCTTGAACTTTGGTAAAAGGTAAAAATTCTATGGGTGTAACCATTGTACACATAATAATTACATGTATCAATAAATATTTGATTTTTTTTTTGCAATTTACTATAACTTATCAAAAGAAAATAATATAATAAGAAAAGGTTTATAATTTTTGAAGCTCCACAATTCATTGAACAACAAAAGTGAATGCCTAATCCTTTAAATATAAATATACTTTTAATACTGATAAATAATATTTTTGCATGAGGATAAATATGGCAATATTAAAAAATAATAATTTTTCTTAAAAAAAACACTAAATTTGTTCAAAAATTAACCTTTAACCTAAAAATTAACCATTTTTCATAATATTATGATAAAAAAGACAGTCACAGGATGATAAAAAAGACATCTATTTTTAAAAAAATTGTTTTTAAATATAAATATATTAGTTTTAATTGAAAATACAAAATAACTGAAAAATGTATTAACAGTTTTGAGGGGCATAACATCAGTTTCAGTTACTGACACTGGTGATGTATCACCACTATTCTAAAAGAATTGAACATGAATGAAATAAAAGTATTCTTGAATAGTACTGTAGATTAATAAACCTGTTTATGACGAACCAAGCACTTAGTCCCTAATATTTTAACCTGTATGGCAAGGCCAAACTTCAGTTATGAACTATTGAATGAGAGGACAAATTGAACTTGATTACTGATTAAAAACAAATATTCTCTAGTATATTTAAATATCAATGTGTCATTAGTTCTATGTTTATTTTACCTCTTAAATATTGTTCAGATAAAATTGTGACATAATTTGAGTAAAAGGGTTTACGACAGTTTTAGACCAAGGGGTTTTTACCGGACAGTTTAAACCGTGGATTAATCCATTCTGTCCTAAACCTTGCCAACCCTGGTATGTATTATAGATAAATTTGATTTCTTTGGCATACTTCATGCTGTATTAAGTCACAATACCTAATAATACCATTATTTGGTATTGTGATAGTAAGGTTTCAACTAAATTTAAGCCTTTAAGAGACCACTCTTTTTACTAAAATAACCACTGTATTAAAACTATTTTGATGCACATTTATCTAGTTTTTAATACTCTTAAGTGGGAATGTATTTTAATAATATATTATTAAAATGAAACGAACTTCTATGTATCTTTTTTTGTATCTTTATCGGGAAGTTGTTATGCTATTTTT